CTGAATTAGCTGGAGCATGCAGTCTTTCTGGTTGCAGGGGGACAAACCATAGTTGATCTGACCTAATGTGGACAGACAGCAGCTAATTTGATCTGAATTTGCTGTTTCAAAGCCAAGTGATCACATTCATTCAGGAAACTGAACCAGCAGTGAACTTGTGTTGAATCAACACTTTGTCTCATGTGCCCATTACAGCCTTGCTTTGGTATTGGAAGTTCTAAAATGAGATTTACTGTGTTGAAAAAGTGGTTTTAGATACTACATATATAGATCCTCCTTGCCTTTCTTTCAAATAAACGAATCGAATCGTTTCAAGTAACTAGTTATCCCTTATCTTTTGCATAAAAAAGAGGAAGATGAATAAGAAATAAGTTGCAGTTTAAATGTGAGCAGGAGGTGTCTTAGTCCAAATGCACCTCTGAAAGTCTTAAAAATGAGGCAGAAAATACAGGTTTCAAACAGAGTAAGGGCCAGGGCAGCACACTGCCCAGGAAAGATGCACTGTGGCTTCCCAGAGCTTGGGCTCCGGAAGGAAAAAGTTCTCAGTTACACGGAAAGACTACAGGAGATTATTAAACCTGAAAGGGCTTCCTGGATTGTTTTATAATGGCCAAAATCTGTTTGTTTTATGAAACACATGAAGCTGGCTGGAAATTAAAGCAGTGTGTATTTATTTATCTATCTGTCTATCATGAAATCCTTCCTGTGGGTAATGCTTCTTGTAAATGTCTATTTTGAGTACTTAGCAGAAAATCTGGAGATCAGTGTGCTGTAAAGAAAATTAAAAAAGCTGTTGTAGCCCTATGTTGAAATACATGATGAGTGCTGTGGAACACCTGGCATTCAACATGCAGTTGGGAAAATCTTCAGAACAAAAGCTTTCTGTGAGAGTGTAAGCAACCACCTTGAAAAATTAGGTTTTTCCTGTCTGAAACCTAGATTTTTCTGTTAGTCAGAAATCTTGTTGGTTTTGTCACTGAGTAACTTAGAAAAATATTTGGCAGCTAAAGAAGATGAAGACTTTTTGTTCATATGGCACTGTTTAAATTTATGTATAATCTTGTTTGTTATTTCTGGTATTTGAATAGATAAACTTACAAAACAATTGGAAACTTTCTTTTAAATTCCAAATTACAAGTCCACGGCAAGCTTTGGCAAGACTTCTTTCAGATGAGTGACTTGTGGATTGGTAAGATTGTTGAGGGTTAACGTTGTAGAAGTGCTTTGAGATGGTGAAGAGACTGTAATGACACCTCGCTGCTTGAAGTGTTCTCACCTTCTCACACTGCTTGAACTTTGTGATGTTTTCTAAGTATATACTATGTGTAGTGCAAAAACTACAATTGCTGCTATTTCCAGTGTTTTTCTTGCCTCCCTTCTTCCCAGCAAATGCTAGATGAATTTAATTGCTCTAAAAGGAGATTTCAGTGTACTAAATTTTGTGCTGTAGCATAGCAAAGACTGCGTGTGATCCTTAAAAGAAAAGGAGTTTTTTATGTTAGAATTGCATATGTGAATCATAATACTGCTGATATAACTCTTCACATCGTACATGAACACTAAAGGAGGTTGCATTTCCACATTTTCACTTCTAGGCAGCTGTTCATGCCCTTAGCTCAGTGTTATATCTGTGCCTCTGCTCCAACAGCTGCTTGCTCTTAGCTGAACTTGTGCCATTATATATTTACTAATGATTTTGATAACACAATGGTTTTGCATTTAACAGCTGGTGGAAAATGTGTGATTTTAGTGCTGTGAGAAGGTGATAATTTAAGATACTTTCTTCTTCATCCTTCCTTGCTCTGAGTTACCATCGATAGCTATAAACTGTGAGGGGTATCTGGCTTTAAGGACAAAAGTGCCACTGGTAATTTTGAAACTATTGCTATTCTTCAAAAGAACTGGAAATCTTATATAGGCAAAGGAACAGTTTTTATTTACCACCCTCCTGGAAAGTACAGTGTCTGACCATGTGTTAAGTGATGACTTGCATTTCAGGAAAGATGGATGGTCACATAATGTACTGTTCACTGCTGCTCATACATCTTCATGATTCCTGTTCTGCTGCTGGAAGTGGGTCTGGCCTTTTCTGTGGGAGAGACCAGCTTGAAATATTTTCATTTTTCTGCTGTTTTGACTTAAAAATAGGCTGCTGAAATGAAATGTTTGACGGGGTTGTGGAGACCAGCAAATACCCTGTGCACCCTTGCCTGTCCCAAATTTCTCTGTTCCGTGGCCAAGTATCTTAAAGGTTCATTATAAACTTCCATCTGTTTTCGTGTCTGTATCGTGCCCTGATGGCTCTGGGCTGGGGATGGCTCAGGAAGGGTTGTTGACAGCATTTGCAGAATATGGAGATTTTAATTTCACAGGATTTCTTTGTGTTACGTTTCCCCTCTCTGCAGTAGAATTGCGTAGCAGTTCACGTCCCGTGGTCTGAAATAACGAGTGCATCTGGCATGGCATGATCTCCCTTGGGAGCAATGGTACAGCTGGTTTGAGAGGTGTTTTAATAGAAATGCTTTGTATTCTTCCAGGTATCCACATTCTTCGGAGAGGAGTGCCTGTAACACAGGAAGCAATTGCGGCATGTAACCGGCATTTGTTTAATGCCTGTAATATTGGGATGGAGTCATGCTTTTATCTGAACCAGTCATATGTAATTGTATATAAAATAGTAATAGCATGTATGAAATTGCAGGCAGACAAAGGTATTCCTGACTGTTTTTCCCGTGTGCACATTGGCATTCCTGGGGAATGCTGCGTGTGAAACCAGAAGGCTGCAGAATAACTTTCTTCACTGGGGGGTGTGTGTGATTTCTGTTGAAATCAAGCAGTAAAAAAAATCAAGTTTATTTTAAAGTGTTGAGTTTTGAATTGAATTTTGCCGTAACTACAGGGGAATGCAAAGGGAACCTGGAGCTGGGCTGAGGATAGTCTTTCATGTGTTAAAAGATCTACCACAGGCCCCACTGTGAATTCTGTACTTGAAACTGCAGCAGCAGGACTTTCTTAGAAACCTTCCACTGTGTGCTGATCTTGCACAAAAACAGTGAAGGAAGCTGCAATGATTTACCAAAGAGTTGGGGCTTTTCTGTGAACTTGAAATTTGCATACTTTTAATTTCAGCTTGAGGGTTTGTGCTTGTTTGGTTTGGTGGTTTGTGTGTTGTTGTTTTTTTTATCCCTTACTTAAAGAGAGATTTAACTAACTTCAAGATTAGATTTGAAATTATCTAACTTAAAGATAGATTTTAAATTTTCTCTCTTGGTACATTGGGCAAGAGAAGCTTTTCCCCCCATTTTTTATTTCCCTTTCTTTTATTCCCCCTTTTCCTCTAAAGGCTAAAGAAATTACTTCAGATTTTGTTCTGAGGGGGAAATCATTATGACCTAAGATGATAATTCTTTTTTTCTTTTTCCCCTATTTCCCCTGTGCTCATTCTCTGTCGGTGTTTGGGCTGAGTAAAGCTCTAAATGGGTGAGAACACTCTTGTGCTGTCAGGTCTGTTGTTGCCGTCAGTAGTCTGGCAGGTCCCTGTGAGTTCTAAGCATCTTGTGACCTGAATGTTTGCTCTGAGTAGGTGGTTGCTAAGAGGATGTGCCTGCTTTTATTTTTCTAGAAGAGCAGGTCTGTGCTTTATAGAGAAACCAGTAGTAGGACTGGATTTTAGTCTAACATCAAATTAGAAGCCGGTTATCAATATCTTATACCAATTACTAGGTGTATGTGTACAGCTTTTATTGGGAGTGCATGATGACTGGTTTTATTGTGCCCAGTCATGTTGTTTGAACACTTAAATGTGACCTCTGTCTTGATTTTGCTTAGACATGTTTTAAGAAGTAACAACTGCAATTACAGCTCTGCTCTTAGGTTGTAAACTGTGGATGAGAGAATGCATACCTGTATTTTAAGTTTTATTTTAGAGATTTCTTTCTTCAAAACAGTTGCCTCCTCAGTCCTTTCAAAATCAGGGATGAGTGTTTCAAGCTTTTTTTTTTCTATTTAAAAGGGTATTCCCTCTCTAGATGAAATTACCTGGGGTTAGTGTAGCTCACTGAGAGGAATATGAGCTAAATTGTTCAAAAACAATGGAAAATTGACAGCCACTACCCAGAAAAAAGATGGAGAGTGATGGTGTGGTGCAAAAGTGAGCCTGTGGATGGGGATGGCAGCTGGCAAACCTGCCAGCTGTGAACCAACTAAGAATTGTTCACTTGTGTAGACAGACTTTTTTCCCCCTTGCAAAATGTTTTGAGGGATACAAAATGAACCCGAATTATCAGGTTCTGGCATTTGATAGACGGAATTGCTATTAAAAAAAGCTTTGAAAAAAGTTGTGCTTTTTGTAATGCTAATGAGGTGTGACAGTGTAGTGATGGCAGGTAGGCAGTGCACTCAGATGTTTGCAGATATCGACAGCTGCTTGTGAAGGATATGCTCACATGGAGAAATGCTGCAGAAGAGCTTAACCTAGAAAGTGAAAACAGGTTCATGGATATAGAAATTACTTTTCAAGTAGTTCTGTGAAGCGTCTCTGAATCAGGCAGGACATTTGTGCAAGTCTAGTGGGTCCTGGCATAGTGATTAGAATGGAAATAGGATTCTGAGTTTGTTGTGTAATGCAGCACTTAACTACTGGAACATTTTTGTTGAACTTTGGTTCTGAGAAAAGCGACCAAAATCCTCAGTGCCCCACAAGAAGTAAATGGGTAATGCTGTGGTGATAGCTGCTCGCATGGTATCTTTATCAGGAAGTTTTTACCACAGGTGTCTCGAGAGAATTATTTCCCAAGCCTTCCTGTCTGTTAAAACCACAAACATGCAGTTTGAAACACGAAGTGATCTGAAACGAGGCTGTTTTTAACATGCTGGCTTATTTGGAAACTTTGTCCGTTGCGCTTCGGTGATACATGACACGACAGACAATTAATATATGTATAGATTTGCAAGAATAAATCACACTTTAAACAAAGCACAAATTTCTTCTTCTTTCCTAGAGCTCCGCTGCACCTCGGGGCAGTTTGCGTGTCGGAGTGGAACCATTCAGTGCATCCCTTCCGACTGGCACTGTGATGGATGGCCCACCTGCGAGGACGAGAGTGATGAAGTTGACTGTCCGGGTAAGGAAATCTGAGCAGAATGCTCATCCCAGTGCCAGCTTGTTTTGCAGCAGTACTTTGACTCTTTCAGATCGCTTGCTTATTCTTATTTGAAATTTTGGAGATTTTTTGGTAGACCTGTACCCATTATTAACAGAGTTCGAGTTGGCTTCTCTTCATTTTGAGCAGCCAGTGCCACAGACAGTATTTTTTGCTTGTCTGAATTATCCTCTGTGAGCAGGTGTCCTGGAGATGAGGTGAGTTTGTAGTCTAAAAGGAGACTTTCATGACAAGGAAAAAATCATGTTGCAATTAAGCTGAAATGACGCATAAGCCCGTGGTTAAATTTGGAATTACTGATTTAGTTGTATATCACTCACATGGTGCTGGGTGACATTGTTGGGCTTGGGTAGAGAGTTTGTTTTATTGCTCCTTCTTCTGCTTATGCTTCTTGAGTGGAGAACTTTGTTCTGTCAGGCAGGCTGGTTATTTCCTCCTCATAAACTCTTACGATCCTATGCTGCCTGTGACCAGCACTGGTTCTCTGCTAAAGTTACTGGATGCTGAGCTGTGCTTAAAAACAAGCAAAGAAAAACTGTGACTATATAATCATAATTTTGAATGTTTTCATTTGTTCTTGACAAACAGGCCAGTGCAACTCTTTCTTGTGTATCTGAAAAGTTAAGGGACCTATAATTTTTTTCCATTAAGAACAGTGAAACAGGTATCTGAAAGCATGAATTCAACTCTGGCATAATTCTAAACTTTTACCTCTACAGTGTGACTAAATCACATTCAAAAACTGTTTTAAGAAGTTCTTCTTCAGTGAACTACTTAATTTTCTTGCAGAGAATCACTGATGAACTTTGTGGCATTGTCATCACAACATTCAGTCTGTCATCATTCTGAGTTCTGAGCTGTTTTAAAGAGGTGCTACAAAATAGTAACATTTGTGTTTTACAGCAACAAACTTCTCTAAATATTCATATTTTCTAGAGGGATTAGAAAAGTAAATCTAACTCTCAGACTTTGAAACTCTGCCATAGTGAGCCATCTCCCCGGTGTGTGCTATACCCAAATAATTAAAAGAATGTCAGTGCTCTATTTAGAAAGCTTTTAGTTGGTTTGTGTGTGTGTATATTTGCAGCAAAGCAGAAAAAAAATTGGTAACTTCTTCTGAAATTGAAAATTAAGCTGTGCCATTAGTAGTCTTTTAAGGATATTCTTTACAATGTGGATGTCCTAGAGAAAGATGCTTTTATAATTGTGCTGTTATTCTTCTTCCTTTTTAGCCAACTTTGGCCAAATGTGAAAATATAGGGACCTAAAAAAATCCTGGAGTCTAATGGAATTCAGTGGCTAGGGGAAGGCAGAGTCACGTTACTGTTTGGATTTACTTAAAAAGCACCGAAGACTTCACTTGTGGGAACGTTTGAACATCCAATTAGTAGAAGTCTATTTTTATCCTCTCTTGTTGCCTGGTGTATTAGTCAGCAATTTAAGTTATTGTGTGGAGTATGCACGGGGATGGTGTTCCAAAGAACATTTGGTATATGAAGAGGATTTCATGGAAGCAAATTTCTCAGTGCATAGGCTCTTGTTTTCTGTTTGGGATGTAGGTCTTGCTGTGCTGTCTGGCCTGATAAGATGAGAAGAACTTTAAAGAAATGAAATGTGGGAGAGAGTTGATTCGCCACCATGTCTGTACACAGGAGGAGAATAACATACATAAAAGAATACTAGAGGGGAAAATGATGGACAGCACAGAGAAGGAAAGTATTGCACTTGATGAGAGGATTAATTAGATAAGTAATTGGTGAAAAGGCTGTGCTCAGTAAAACAGCCAGAAAGCAGGTGTGGTGTTTGTGAAAGAACCGAGATATTTGCACAGTAACGCGAGGTGTGCAGCCAGCAAACCAGAGGAACAAGAACTACTGGTGTGGGATGTAAAAACTATTATACCTGTAACAAAAAAATTGAAATGGGTGTTGAAGGGCATTTGTTATGTGGAGCTGTCAAGAATCAGGAGAGGTTGGTGTGCATGTGAATGGTATGCTGGAGAATAAAAAGGAGTAACATCAATGAAAGTAAACCTGAGGCCTGAATCAGTTTGGAAGAGCGTGGTTTTCTTATGTTGGGAAAAGCAGTATATGACCAGTCAAAGGAGAGAATGTCTTGGGACATGGATTGGGGAGCTAATACTGCTAATAATAGTAGCACACAGTCATACTCAGGAGTGGCAACTTTCTTCTTTGGCCTCTGAATTTACAAGAAATGATGCAGCTTTAAATTTAGAAAATACCTTTGGATTTAGATGAGCAATCGTGAGATGATTCAGCTAAATGTAAATACTTTTTAATTAAAGTTCTTAATTTCAATAAAGCCAGGCTGAACACTGAAAGAACTAGTTAGTGAAGCCACCTGGACTTGTGAAACTTGGAAAATTAAAATATCTGTAAATTAAAAGGCATGGAAACTCTCTGAAGCATGAAAAAAAGGCTTGCAAGAAAGAGCCTTGAATCTGGTTGGGAAGCTTGTTAATCTTCAGCCTTTGAGCTACTAATGGCACACTCCAACATGAGCAACTTGGGAGAGATCAGTGCTAGTGAATTAAGGTTTTGTGGTGGTGGTGAATGTGTGTTTCAATGACTACTTAGTCATGTTGGTATTTTGAGAGGTTTAATACAAAGCCATTGGGAGTTATTTGTCACTGTTGGTTTAGTTTACCTTTTTCAGGCCCGGTTTCATTTATGTTAGTAACAAGTGTATTAAAAGAAGAGGAACTGTAATTAATAAATTAGTTTTGTATTCATGTGTTGTCAGAAGTACAAAAACCACTCCAAATCCTAAGACTTTTTCTTCAGAATAATTTCTTCTGTCATTTCTTTCAGAACACAATTAAGAAAGACATTAATTCATTGGCAATCTGAATAAGTGTATGAGATGCCTATTTTTTGCTAGACCATTTATTTCTGTGAAGATTGTCGTTACAGCTGGTTTTGTTCTTGCTCTCTCTTATCAGAATGACTGTTTTCCTTTAAAGCCTGGAATTCCTTTCAGTTCCAAACTTACCATGTGCAAAGTGCTGTTCCCCCTGCCCTTCCCAGTGGGCACACACGCGTCAGTGGAATCTGCAGCAGTGATTACCCTCAATTCATCTCTCTGGTAGACTAAAAGCAGCGGCTGCTTGCTCTTGTGAGCATACTAAAAATTGCTGGGAGGGTTTATGTAGCATGTGCCTGTGACTCTCTTCTGCTTAAGCAGTGGAGCTTCATGAAATTTGTGTACTGTTCCGTGTCAACAGTACTCGATCCTAAAAATAGTTTATCCTAGAGTAGCGTATTCTGTGAAATGGTAGAAACAGGCGTTAGTATCTTAAACAAGGACTTTTAAAAATGGAAATTTATTATTTCTACTCACTTTCCCTTATGTTTCTATACAAGTAGTCAAAGTAGAAACATGATTTTTCGACCTGTATTTAAACCCATAAGAGGGAAGGGATCTGCAGTTTGCCTTTTACTGCTTATTGGATTTCCAGCTTTGCTTCTACCAGAATATCAGATCAGCTTCTGCAGATACTCTGCCTTCTTTGCAGGCCTTCTGGTCTAACTCATTTTCAGGGGGACGAGCAGAGCAGAGTTTAGTGTAGCTCTGTCTGTTTGCCTTTGTTTCTTCTTGCTGCAGGCTTGATGTTTGTTTCTGTTGCTTAGGAATTAGAGTGGATGTCTTAAACTCCAGTGCCTTTCATAAATCCTATCTGTATCAGTTTTTCAGCTTGCAGTTATATTGGTGATCATTTCATTTCCTTCCTTCATTTGTTTATATTTAAAAAACAGAATTCTTTCCATAAATAAATGATCAGATTGTGCTGTCAGATGTCTTCGGGCTTCCCCCAGCATCTGAGCTTGAAAACCTCCAGCTCATCCTGTAGTGCACACCCTTACCCAGTGTCACATTCTTCCTTTAAAAAGTATTTCTCAGTACTGTTCTCTAGACCTGCTTGGTCAGAAACAAGAACTGGAAGGTTTCAGTGAGCTGAATTCCTAGGGGTTGTCCCCCCCCCCAGTGAAGTGATCAAAACCAGCTCTTTGTTTTATTTCACCAAGGATATTGTGTTTGGTTGAAGTGACTGTTGACATTTGTGTGCTTTTTAGGACATGTCCTTTTTTAAAGCTAGGTAATAATGATAAAAACCTCTGAGCAGTTCCACACTTTTTCTGAGCCCTTGCTGAACTATTTCTTTACCTTACCTCCTGTGTTTAAATTATAAGCTCTTTCCTGTCAGCCTATTGCATTGAATAGTGCTCATCACAACAGGATGCTGTTCTTTGTTGGCATTGATGTCCTGGCATAATACAATTGATAGCACATGGTGGGGAGCTGCCTGATCTGAGAAGAGTCACTCCTCTCTGGGAAGTTCTAAACTGTATTTTGAAATATTGAGGCACAAAACTGGACTTAATCTTGAAGTTCTCTCACCTCTCAAATTTCCAAATGGAATTAGAAGTTTTCCAAGCTTTTAGTGGGTTGTATGCTGGATAGTAAATTTGAAGCTTGAGGGGACAAGGCAGCTTTTGATGTAAATTTTGAGAATCAGTGTGTTTAAACAGGAGCAATTCAAATCTTGGAACTAATAATATATTAACAAGACCTGGTTGCTTCACAAGCAGTTTCATTTTGAGACAATTTGACGTAGTACATCCATCCTTGTAAAGGGTTTGGCTTGAGCGACTTGCCATCTGTGACACAGAAACTCTGGAACCTGGTTCAACTCCCCAAAATCCAATATTCACCCCCTTTATGAGTCCTGTCCATACAGGACCTCTCTGTGTTACAGGCAGTGTCCTCTCTGCCTGCCCTTTTTGTGGTGCACAGCAGACCTTGGGGTGTGTGGCAGATTGCAGTTTCTCTTTTTGCTCCTCTGAACACATTTGGTGTCACGTTTGTCCCCCCATGCAGAGCTGCTCAGCACACAGACGTTCTGGCCTGTCCCTGTCTCAGCTGGTGCCAGCTCTCACTTT